GGGGGCGGTCCGATACCCAGATTCAAACGCAGGATATCGGCAGTGCCGGCTCCGTGCTGCGTGGTATTAGCCCCAAACCACCAGGGCCTCCTGCTGTCAAGCGGTGTCCCAGACCGACAGGGAACACCCCTGATGCAAAAAAAGTCGGACGATTTGAATAACAGGAAGTGAGCGATAGGAGGAAGTTTGTGAGTTATCGACAAATCTGCTGCTGCTTTGGTTACAGTTTTTGCCGAACCCTTAATCAGTTGCGCATCACGATGATATTTTTTTACCACTGTGTTCCTACGGCGGGGGGGGGGGGACGGACGGACATTTGTCTGCGCCTTTCTTTCCTGTTAATCTTGGCACAAGCTCAGGAGTGTCTCATTGCGATTACGCCAAAACGTCAAAAGTTACGTCCGAATGCCGCCGAGTCTTTCGCATATTTTGCCACCTCTTAGAAATGTCAGCGCGGTCGACGAGACGGATGTCTTGAAGGGAGATACAGACGAGAGGTGATTTCCATTTAAGTCTCTGCTGGCACATGCACGTGTACCCCGGGGACGTTATATGCAGGGTTGCTGGATCACACACTGATTGGTGTGTGTGTGTGGGTGAGATATCGATCGGTGAGCCCTGTAGGGTTTATTTTTTCTCTGGGCCCCTCTTCCCTCCGCTAAAGGAGCCCGTGCACAGCCGATGATGATGATGAGTTAAGCACCAGTTACCGACTGCACTTGGGCTTGTGCCCCTCCACACATGGCCATCGTCGATCTGACTGAGTTCGTTTCAAGGACACACGATGATGACGATCCCCAGGTGAGGCCTTCCTGGAAGTATCGCTACAATAGTAATCATTCTAGCATCTGTGAATCAAGCCGAATTGATTTAAGACGGCTGACTGCTGACGAGAGCCATAATGTCGAAACCGGTCTCGAGGTTTGCTCGCTTTAAACGAATTCTGCTCGATAAAATTGGTCTGGAGAGTCGGTGTGGACTAAAACACTTTCAGCCGTGTGCGAAGGCATCGAATGGCGCCCTGTGCTTCTCTTTGCTTTTCCATTCGGAGAGTCAAAAGTTGTGGATGATGACGGGGAAGGCCATTCCAGGCTGTGAGAAAGACTTTGAAGATGGAAGGGAGAGGAGGCAGTCTTATCAGTGCTGAGATTGATGAGGATGGATGGCTGACGGAGGGGGAAGTGTTTGCTGTCGTGGAGGAAGGGAGGGGGGAAGAAGAGGAGGAGATATGAGGTCAGTAGTCAGCGGGGCGTGCATCCGATGACCACAGTCGGCTACGTACGGTGCGAAAGAAGTTCACCATGCAGGCGCGCGGTTCGCTTAGCAGGCACCGCCGGTTTAGACAGTTGTACTATACGATTTAAAGCTTTCGTGACTGCAGGGATTCATATTCTTGGTTCTTTCTGTAAAGTCACGTAGAAGGGAAATAATAAAATAATATACAATAAAACAATAAAAATTCTCACGACGTTTTGACTGCAACACAAGCAATCATCATCACACCTGATGATGATTGCTTGATGGTTGCTTGTGTTGCAGTCGAAACGTCGTGAGAATTTTTTGTTGTTTTATAGTTATGTTATTTTATTATTTCCCTTCTACGTGACTTTACCGAAAGAACCAAGAATATAGTTGTACTATAGTCACGCTATATACGTTTAATGGTCAAGTCTCTTGCCGAGCGTTTATAATTTGTGCTGCGTTCAACCTGGAGGTAATTTGCCCAAGCTGAATTAAGTTTAGTAATATTTAAAATTCTTTTTCTACATAATTTATTTTTATTTATTTTGCTTGTTGGTTACCCAGGTCCCTCTGCCAAATTGGAGACTATCTCCCCTGTTATATGTAGAGTTCTCACCACCCGGGTCCCCTGTGGGTTACTGGCAGCGTGGATACGAAACGCGTGCAAGTGAGTTACCAACATCAAAGTCGCTGTCCCGGTAGCTGTGTTCTGATACATCGTACGATGATTGTACTTTTCACTGTTAAGATTTACATCGTGCCGACATAGCACACGCGGCTATCGTGCATTTTGCATAAATATTCCCCCTACGAAAAAGTTTTTCCTGGACCCACAATCGTTTTATTAATGCAGACAAAATCTCAGACTTGTACGTAACACCAATCATATTTCCAGCAGTGGGCCCTATCATCGTTGCCTCTCGACAACATTCGTTTTAAGCAAAGTTAAAAGCACATGGTCTAATCTGTGTTCATTTTTTTTATTATCCACGATCTGCGAAGGGCATCACAATGAGCTAGTAATTACATACCAGACCCTATTGTAAGTATTTTCTTTGAGGACAGAAACAGAAAAATGTCCAACCTGATGGTGTCGTGTTGTTAGGCTTGGCCACCTGTTTCCGTAACTAAAACAACTTGAACATTAGCTGTGGTTTTAAATCTGTAACGCTTTTCCGACCGGCCGACTTGCAAAACTTGTGGCACAGGTGGCAGCAATTGTACGATTTGCTTAGCTTCTGAGTGGACAATGGTTTCGCACTAAATGAGCCTCTATTACAGCAGTCCTGTGGGAGTTGGTTATGGGCATGGGCGGTGAGCCATTTTTTTGAGGCCTACTGTAAAATTAAGGAAATTTGAGCTTCAAAAGCCCCATCATATTTGAAGCAATGTTCCGGAGTTTGAAAACACAAATCAAAGCACTGTACAAAGTTATGGTCAATAGCTTAAACAATGTACTTTGTTTTCTAAGTATGTGAAGCACAGTCAATCAGTAGTGACCGCCTTGGGTCATATGAGGCCTTCCAAACCAATGAGGTGTGCTCAAGCAGTAAAATTAAATTGTAAAAAAGTTTAAAGCCAAACACATTTTGTAAATGAAGTGGCACATTGCAGAGGGGTTTAAGATAGCGAATGACACCTCAACCCAGTAATGATTTTGCTCTAAAATCGATTCTGCTGACCCTGTGGCATAATTGACACTATTAGGCATTAGTGCCAATCGCCAACTCACGTGTCATAACCTAAAATGCGAGAGACATTTTACGTAATTTCCTCCACAAAGATGCCACGGACCCTTAATTCATACAAACGCACTTGCCAATGGGAACATCTGCCTTTCGTTAGATCTGTCCTCTCCAGATATATTTGAAGATCATCCCATGCAATACATTGCACCGCAGGCTTAAGGTCCGTGGCCAAGGACAATATGCCCTTGTGAAGTGTCACAGCTGTTACATAACCCCAAGGTTGTTGATGCGCACACACACACGCACACAGGACGCCTCGTTTAACAGGGTCCCGGGCACTCAGAAGAGTTCTGCATCAGTTGCACAACGGTGGTGACGAGGGTGGATACCAAAGGATTGCAATCTCTCAATCTCAACAGATGTTAGTGCACAGAAATGTTTCCTGCAGCGGGGGGGGCGGGGCGGGGCAGGGAAGTGTGATTGAGTGCCCTGGGTTCACTTCAGCTCTGCCCCTTGCTCATTCTAAGGACGTTCGCAAAAAATAAAATTGGATGGCCGAACGGCGTCGTCGTCGTATATGGACGCATATAAATTGTCACCCCGCATCCGAAATGGCCCGGGCCTTTTCTGGGAAATAATCTTCCGTAAAGAGCGCCTGCACGCACACGCACACACACGCACACGTACGGCGCAACTTAACAGCAGCCTTGTGGTCGGCTTTACCAGGGAACTTGGCAGACTTTATTTCAGCTGGTAATGCCCGCTGAGCTTGGCAGCTCTTTTACAAGGACAACCAGGGGTGGTAGCAGCATGGGTACAGTAGGAACACTCGCGCCTTACAGCAAGAAGCACCTAACTTGGGCGCCTTTGCGTAGAGTGTGTATGTTCTCCCCCTTGTTCTGCATGGGCTTCCTCTGGGTTATCTGGTTTCTTCCGAAGGCTACAGAAAAAACATTACTTGATTGGTGTTGGCCAAGCATCCCAGTCAATGCAGGGCCCTCCTAAGAAGGTCTTTGGACTCTGTGTGGCTTTCCCCGGGGTAAATAAGTAAATGATTAAATTACTATAATAAATATATAATAATTAGTCTGTCTATTTTGGTTTCTTCTTGTATGATATTTTTATTACAGTATTGTTATGCTGACATGAGTATCTATTTGCACAGGTATGTGTTTAAATATGCTTGAGAAGCTTGGGGTTTCCTGATCCCAGGCTCCCGTTTCGAATGAAGCCGGCTGCTTCGTGTGTGGCGAGGCAGTCCTCCCCAGTGGCTCTACGGGTCGCCCAACATCTACACTCTGATCTATGAACGTATTGTTTTGTGTAAATAACGTGTTTATTGTTGTTTGCGCTCCGGTTAGGTTGCATATTCCTCTCCCCAGCAATGCCGTGTCACTTGCCGCCACCGCCGCTTAACAGTTCTTGAGCTGCGGTCGTCCTCGTAACAACCCGCTTGGTGCAACGGGGCCTTACCCGCTAAAATAACGTCTCGGTTATAGTTATGCTAAACTCGGCCTCGAAGATATTCCGCGAATATGCATTTTGGAAACGTTTTTTTATGGTACAGTGCGAAACACTGTGCATGAGACAGAACCGATGAGGATTTGCAGCACATGGTTTTGGAGTCATTTCACATTGTGAAACGTGACCCTGCTGTCAGAGCAGTGTGCACAGATACAAATGGATTGGTGGCACTGCCAGGAGATTCGAGTTCACTGACAGCATTGGCCAAGACAGTTTGCTCAATGTTGCGAGTTCAGTAGGACATTGTGGGTGCAAGCCCACAGATCCTCGTTGTTATAAAATGTAATGTTATCCTCATTGTGCTGTCGGCATCATGTCGCGAGACGGCTTCCACCCGGATCTCAGAGCGGCACGACCCTTCGCGTTAACGCGTGACAGTTGACGCTTGTTCTCAGGACTGGGCGCGGCACGTTCTTGCGTCCGTCTCCGCCCTCGAGAACGAGCCGTCCGTCTCGTCGTCGCGCCCGTGGCGATCGTTTGTCCTTGCCCTCAAGAGTACTGACCGTGCGTGCGTCCGCGTGCGTCCGCGTGCGTGCGTTCCCTCAGGTGGCGACCGGCTACGTCAGCACCAGGAGAACAGCGCGACGCGCACCAAGGTGGAGCACCTGCAGCTGCTGATGCGGCAGCGCAAGCTGCGGCGCAAGCAGCGCAGGGACTCGCGCGCCCCCTACCCGGGGGCCGGCGGCGCGCACGACGGGACGGTGGGGGCAGGGTGGGGTGGGGCGGGCTGCGGCGGGGCCCCCGGGGCGGCCGGAGGGCAGCGCAAGGCCGGGCGCGCGGGCAGCGAGAGCAGCGTGGCGAGCGACGCGTCGGGTCTCGACCTCGAGCTGGACGATCAAGCCGTGGTGGAGAACGGGGCGAGCAGCGGCGCGTGGGCCAACTCCGCGGAGATGGAGCCGGAGTACGTGGTGGCATGAAGCGAGGGCAAAGGCCGAAAAGGAATTGAATAGAATCGACGGCAGCCGAGACAACTACAGCAGCAGCAGCAAAGAAAACATGACACGACCGTTTGTTTAAAGGAAAGATGAGTGGGGCTGATTTTTTGAAGTAAAAATTGGCGGTGACGGAAGTGGAATTTGAGAGCGACATGAGCCAGGCTCTGGGCGAGCCTGGCAGGGGTTTTTTTGTTTTGTTCCCGATGTCGCGTTTGCGAGTCGTGTTGTAGCTGCGGCCTGCGTGCTCGAGTTGCAGGAGAGAGAGGTGCCATTGATTTGGTTTTGGTGGGTGGGGGAAGTGATTTTTTGGGTTTATTTAGTATCAGGCCTTGACCGATTTGGTTCAGGTGCAGCTTGCGGCGGCGTTTTCATACGACGATGTGCGGGAGGTCTGCTCCGTGGCGTTAAAAATAGACCTCTGCAAGGAGCAGAGCAAAGGAGAAAATCCGACCTGGCCAAAAACATGGCCGCTCCAGTCTCACGTAGCATACGCACGGAAATATATCTATTCCAATTTCTTAACAAACAAAATCAGATAAAAGTAAAAATGGAGGCATTGCAGTTTTCGTTTGTTGATAAACCTGAGGTATAGAGGTTGTGTTTGTTGTCAGTGAAAAATTGGCAAATCAAACAGAGAGACTATATTGGCATGGGAGGGTGTCCTAATGATATGGGATGGTGGTGTATGTGTCTATTTTGTAACGCCTCATTAGTGACAACGTGAAATATTGGCCGACTTAAAAGATTCTTTCCTGGACGCAATGTTTCGGCAACATGTTAAGAAAAAAAAATGTTATGGATGATTGAATTACAACTCAGAAACCCTCCATTAACATAAATGCATGTTTTAAAGTAGGTGATGGTAAGGAAGGCAATTCTCCACAAAGATGGACTCGAGTGTTGAAACCTGCCCTTGTGTTTGATTCAATAATAAACGTGTGAAGTTCATCGTCCTGCACAATGGATGATAGATGTTAACGCTCGTGTAATCGTGACGGAAAATCGTAAACGTTTCAACAAAAAGAAGGCTTCCTTTCTGATTCCCGTGAAACTCAAAAGGGGGGCCGCGCGTTTCACCAACGTACACCGCGGCGGGGAAACGACACGGAAAAGAATCGAAGCTAAAAAAGAAAGAAAAGGCAAACCGAGAATCTCCAGGAGGTGCCCATCAGCCGGGGGTGCGACCACCGCTTTGTAAAAACGGACACGAGGGAGGGGAAAAGGGGGGGTTTGGGAGACAACGCCCCGATTAATAACAAATGCATGAGGAAGAAAAAAAAACAGACGTTTAAATGCTTGAAAAAAAATGTGATACCGATTGAAACTTGTAACTGACCTGATGGACGAGTCTTGAACTTTGCTCAGGATTTACAAAAATCTCTTCCGTTCGTCAGCATCTCCATCCGAAAGTCTCGGACCTACCACCAACAACAACAACAAGAAAGAACCCCCACCTCCCCCCCACCCCGACACTTGAAACGCTAAACTCTATAACTTCGTGCGACATCATCACGACAAGTCGAAGACCCTACTCGGGCAAAAAAAAAATACTATCGTCTGCCACAAGGTTTTTTCTTTCGGTCACCTGCAGCTGTAGTGAGCGGAGCGCTTTTATTCGAATCGCCCATGTCGTGCGTGTCGGGCAAAAAAATATAATAATACCAATAACAATAATAATAATTAAAATAATATTGTACTGTCTGAATGCCGTAGATATTGGATGACTTTGTGCGGTAGTGATTTTTCTCGGTGTACGTGTAGAAAATTGTGTACTATTAGTTTACGTTGCAGCCTCTGTAAAACTGAAATCGTTGAGAGAAAGGCTGGGCTGTGTCGAACAGTAACGCAAGTTAAAAACAGTTTCTGTCAACAAAAAAAACATTTGTTTCTATTATATAATCAGGTATTTTTTTTTCTTCTACGCTAGCGTTACTCTATTAAGCACCAGGATTATTATTTTTGTTCGTTTCCCTTGATTTATTTTCATTAGACTCCAACAGCACCCCCCCTTCCACCCCCATATGGCTGACCGTTTTAAAATGGTCTGGGGGGGGGTCGGTCCCCCTTACTGTTTTTCGGATAAAACAAATCATTCTTGGCTCAAGCGTGTCCACGATCACGTGCACACGCACGCTGCAGTCCCACCCTCTCACCGGCTTCTTTTTTGTTAATATAAAGTTGCAAAGGTGCACGCTATCTACAAAAACCGTAACAATAATAACACCACGCTCTCTCAAAGAATGAACTTCCAAGATTCAGTCTGTCGCGCGCGCGGGCTCCCATCGCGTGCCAGCATCCCGTCAAATCCCCGCGCGTCCTTAATTATGCAGCCAAATGGTTTAATTCACATATGTTGATTTCCTCACTCCACTAGTGAAGACCGTTACGACCCATCGGGTGTCCGCAACGTACACAACTGCAGGTCGAAGGTCACGTTGTGTTTATTGCGTGCCGGCAAATTCAACGAAAGTGAATCGCAGTGCCCTTTGGCTGCATAATTCAGAACTATGGCAAGCCTTCCGTGGGTCAATGGTTATCTCCTTACAAGCCTCTTTTGATGTTGCAATATGTTAGACACAATAACGATAATAATAGTGACCACGATAGTAGCATTAGTCTTTCCAAATCACAGGTCCCCCCTCCCCGTGGTCTGATGCCCGTGTAAATGTACATTTTTGAAATCTTATTCACTTGTATCAAGCTCATGTACTTGTACTGAAATGAATATGCTCTTGGGTAAGTCTGTGTCTGAATATGAACTGCACGTGATATAAGCACAGAAGTGCCATTTTCCTCTCATTGTACTTGTTCTTAAGGGTTGTATATACCGCACACTTTTCCTTCGTCACTAGTTTCTTTTTAAAGGCCTTACAGAGTCTATGGACTAAGTTTAAACACCACCCTCAACTCTGTGTTCTCCTGATGATGATGATGTTGTTTTTGGAAAAGCTCAGAATGCGGGGAAACACGATGTCAGGAATCCGCGCAGCAAAATGCATCCTCAAAAGTAAAAACCGCTTTAGCAAATTGCTCGCGAGCATTTCAAGCGTCGGCGTGACCACGTTTTGGCCGCATGTCGTGGGCGGCGATTCCTGCCCGTGGCGCCGTGACGAACCCAGCGGAATCTGTTCACGAGGGCCTCGCGCGACTGGCGACGACGAAATCCCGAGCCTCGCATCGTCAGGTGACCTGGAATCCCAAGCTATTGGCGGCTTGCCTCATTGCTGTAGTTTCGTCGATTCAACACCCCCCCCTCCCGCCGCCTCCCTTCTTACCCTCCCGATTGCAAATTGGTAATGTTTAATTTCATAATCGGTCATATAAAAAAAACGTCGTTGGCAAGTTTTTTGGGTTTTTTTGCAAACAAAAGAGGCCTTGCGCACGTGGTCTTGCCTGGGTCGCTCTGCGAAAGCCACGTGGCCTTTTTATTTTGTGTTGCGCTGGGGGAATTCAGGGATTCGCACCAACCGGGAAGAGGAGGAGGGTGCGTTTTTGCTGCGCGGTGTTCCGAGTTTTATTTGTCCGTGATTGCGTCCCCTGTGCCGGCAGTAGTTTGTTACGGTGCTCAACTTTGTGTTCACGTTGTTGCTCATTTCTGGATGTTTGTGGATCGTTTCTCGGAAAGGACACCCGTGTGTCATTCGTGTGTGTGTTTAATTACAAAGAAAAGCAGACACCCCACCGCCCCCCTCTTGAACGCACCGTACGGCCTGCATAATCGATGGTCAATGATTTGCAGGTTACGCATTGCCAATGATCCGGAGCCAAACGTGCAGGATTGTGTATCTCAAGTCGGTTTGATCACTCCACAGACAAATCTGCGCACGGCATTGCTATGCTCTGCGTGGCAATGCATCCCCGATTGTGAAGAAACGTTCCATCGGCCGGCATGGTACACACCAATGCATTGACACCTCTTAAAAAAAAAATAACATTACAAAAACATAAAGCCTGACCCTCATTCCGTTGTGAATGAATCTGCAGTAAAGAGGCCAATTTTCATATATTTTTACTTCCCCGTAATTGGATACAGATTTCTGACAGGTGTAATAATATAAAAAACAACATGTTGTTTTCTTATGCACTCTAAAGAGTGCTTATGAAAGCCAGACGCTACGATACAAAGTAGATTCGTAAATGCTGTCCACAAACACGTATCCTCCGTTAATATCCCGCAGCTGCTATTTTGACGGTAAACACCCCACCAACATTTCTGATGGAGGCCATCTCCCCCCCCAAGTTAAAAGCATTCACTGGCAGAGCGGTCGCTGGAAAATGTATCAAAGATGTGAATGAGGGTGTTAGTCTTTTTTCACTTCTACCTTGGCCCTCGTCCCAGTAGTTTTAAAGTGAGCAGCGTTGCAGAAGGGCGTTTGAACACAAATTGATTTCGCTCTGCGGTCTACCTCCTAGAGGCGCGCGACACAGAGGCAACAGAAATATGCAGGAACATGACAGCATTGAGCCCCGTCTGAATGGAGGCGCCGTTCTCGGAATGGGATTGTGAACGTCGCAGAGACGAGAAGATCATCCAAACCGAGGAGTTTCTAAATGTGTCCTCGCTGCGTGCTCCAGTGACCGGCCCGGGAAGGTGGCAAGAGCACTACGTCACGTGTGAGCACGTCATGTGTAAAATGAACAAATCCGAAAAAAAATCTTATTCCGAAATTGTCATAGTTTGGAAATCTGATGTTTAAATCCAAAATCTAGACTATGATCTCTATACACATGGCTATAACGTGCGTTTAAATTATCACCCTGTCCCTTGTGGATTAAACTACTCACCTGCGCACCACCTTCACACGTGCAGCAATATTTTTGAAAGGCAATCTGTCTGATTATCGTTTATTCCCGTGTTCTAAAGGGAAACTAAAATTCTAAATGTTTTTTTTTTCCAGCAACATAATATCTTCAGATTGATACATAGTGGTAGGTTGATTGTCAAATATAACAATACTATTATGACTGCAGACCTTAGCATGATCGATATGCATTGGTAGCTGCCGGGATTTTTTCAGAGTACATATTTAAATGTTAAAAATGATAGTAATCGTCCAAATTTTATATTACACACACAGATTACACACGAAAAAAAAAACCAGTAACCTCCTTTGGCAATATTGACGATAGTGGAGCGTTAACTCCCAACACCGACCAGGTCAAGGAGAGAAAAATGCTATAAATGTGCCGCATGCATAGAGAAACGGGTCAAAGGTCAAAACGTGTTCTGCCCCCTTGAACAACGAATTTTGTCGTCTCTGCCGCCATTCCCAGCAGTGCAACTCTGTGTTGGGGCACATCGCGTTCATGCAAGTCGGTTCTCCCTCTCTCTCCGCTTGCGGTGTTGCACCGTGCGGAAATTCTATTCGTTTGTTTCCTGCCTGACAATGCAATACTCTCATCTGGCTCCTTGGCATAAGTGCAATGTCAAGCAATTTTCTGCAAAGGGAAAAAAAATTTGAGAATACAAAGGAATGGAAATGATTACAAGCAATAGGAACTATTGTTCTGGTGTTCTTAATTTGACACGAGTACAGTATTTGATGTATTTTAACCGTTTGGTTATTTTTTTTTCCCATTTTAAATAAGATATACTGTAACGGTGTACTGTATGACATGCGGAATAGGTTAGATGTTTTCCGTTGTGTGTGCTTCAATGTATAAAACGCTGGGTTAGTAGTCTTAAACGGCACAATGAATTTACACAAAAAGTTTGCAATTTTAACATAAAATCAGTTTATTGTTAAATAAGATAATTTCCAAAAGGCATAGGGGCACTGATGGGTGGAAAATGACAATGGTAGTCACGGCGATAATGCCGTCAAAGTCTGCGAAAGAAAAATCACTGCGTGACCGAATACTTGATGAAGAAAAGGTTTACGCTTTGGCAATGTGATGCTCCACCCATGTTGCGGAAAAGGCCCAGCTCCAAATCGACGTCTCACTGCTCCTCCTTCTGCAGCCACCTCAATTCGGGCTCCCAAATCCAAATTATTTAGCGGGACACCATTTTAATGAACACCGTTCGTTGTTTCCAATCAAACGAAAAATATGACCAGAGAGCTGGGCTTTACCCATTTAATTAGAACCCTAAATTTTAATTTGGTGGGGTTTTAAAAAAAAAATGTTTATTCAGTCCACTGGAGCTGAGACCATCGGCTCCTCTGAATACTTTGAGATCGTGGTGGGTTTTCTTGAGTTCACGTGGGGTGTTACCTTGGCCAGTTCGCAACCCCAGGTCTCGCCGGTGCTGGCGGGCTCTGCGTTGTTGCGCGACGCGGGATGTCACACGGAAACTACCGAAACGCAAAACAGTTTTAATAAAAGCACCTGCCCGATTGATGTGCACATTTGGACTCCCCCCCCCCACCCCCCCTCGAGTAAGTTCGTTGTGCCGCAGTAGTAGCCGTGTTCCACCACTGCTGTGTTGTTCTTAGTGTCTCGACGAGATGTGTTAACCCCTCTCCAGAGCATTACTCAAGTTCTGTCCTGAAGCCTTGCAATGGCGGGACAGCGTATGAGAGTGTGTGTGTGTGTCTGTACGTCTATGAGTAGCTGTTAAACATTCTGACTTGTGGTAGGGCTTAATGTTTTTTCTTTTTTTTTATTAATTACTTTTTTTTTGTACGAGTATGTTGCATAATGAACTGATGTAAAATCCACAATAAACAAAAACGTGAAGAATAAACACACAGACGCTTCGGGCCTGAGTTATTTTTTTTGGGCGAGGTTGATATTCTGCCGTCTTTGAGTGAGTGTGTGTATGAGGCAAGTGTGTGCGTGAGCATGTGTGAGTGTGCGCGCATTTAAAATACCTGAACTGGTCCTGGGCCTCTCCTAGGCCGACTCGGCCTTTGATGAGTACCTGGTGCGGTGTGTAAACGTCACCACTCTGGAGACAAAGGTGGCTGGGCATGGTAGAAGACAAGCCACCCCCCTCGCACGCCTTGCCGGATTGCATAGGTGCTCGCTAACAGCACTTGCCTCAACAGTCAGTGTAGGCTATACGGGAGATCTTTATCTCATACTTTGCGAGCACCAGTCATTAGGTCGTCAGCAAATGTAATGCGGTTGATGAGTAAGGGAGCCATCCCTTGACCACATCCGAGCATCGATCAGCCTCCCAATATATCCTTACCAGATGCAAATGTCACCCTACCACCATAGGAGCCAGAGGACATCCCTGCTGCACCCCAATGTGAACAGTAGTCATGGCCATAGCCTGACCCAGGCCTGCCCTCCAATAAAGGTGCTGAAACAATGATTAATAGATTTTTGGGTTTGGCCATGTGATGATCCGGACAAATCTGCGTAGCCAATACCCTCCAACACCCGACACGGCCAAATGAATGAAACTACCCTGCGTACAATCGTTCCAACGCGTCAAATTATTGTGTCCACTCACTGGCAAGTTGCCGAATTCTCGCAATCAAATTCGGCGATTAGATTATGATGACGTTTCACTTGAAGAGCGTCTTGGAGACACAACTTTGGCCAGGTCATTGTGGCCGAACCCAAAAGCCAATGATGAATTCTGAATATTTGCTGAGAAATTCTACGTGTCTCCGTCAATAATGGTTATGAGCAGGTGGGGTCAGGAATGATCAAGGCACAAAGATTGACCTCCAATTAGCACCATTGGCTACGTAGTTCAATGTACAATCTGTGTGTCACAATAGATCTGGACCAGGTCTTTCATCCCTCATCATTAATGTCGTCCTCACTTTCATCATGAGCAACATATCGTCCCCTTCACCACCCTCAAAGACATCGCCACCAAACCAATGTCACCATCACTTTCCATCAGCCATTTATATCAACCTCTTCTGTTAAAAGACCATACACTTTACCATCATCAATACCATTACAAACATCGCTACCATCATCATCACTCTCATTACACAAACACATCACCGTTCTCGCCATCACCAAAGAGAAAGATCCAACGTATATCCCTAATGGGCTGTTGGAGCAAGTGCTGTTAGCAAGCACCGATGAAGGTCAGCACAATACACCACGACCAGCCGCCTTTGTCTCCCGAGTAGCAATGTTGTAGCAATGTTGTTACACACAGCACTTGGTACTCAATTGAGGCTGAGTTTGCCGAGTGGGGGGCGCAGGTCCAGTTCAGATAAATGTCACTGGTGTTGGCCGTGAGTCGGAATCGAACTCGGGTCACCGGGTTTGTAGTGCAACGTGATAACCGCGACACCACCGCTCCCCACACCATCACCGCCCTCTCGTCAATTTTGGAAGAAAAAAGAATTATAAGATGTAAAAATGTGTACAAAAAAATCGCCGTGGCTAATTATAACGGTTCACATGCGCGTGGAACATGTGTGCTGTTTGGTGCCTCAATAAATCATTGTGTGGTTAATTATATTTAATTAGTCCATGGGCCCAGACCAAATATTTCTCCTGTTGGTACCACGTGCGGTGAAATAACTTTCATGGTTCAGTTTTTGTCACGTGGCCAAGAACTGTGAAGTTTGTGATTACCATTTGAAATGCGTGGGGTGGTTATCAATACATGCACTCGTATTTGCCAAATAACCACATCAGTACGACTAAAGTTTTACCACCTCTGGTGATTGCAATATCTGTTTTAGCCCATGGACTGAGCGTCGTCACCAGGTAAGGCCCACTGAGCTGAAGCGACCTGGCACTCACAACTGATAGCTCAACGAAGTGGCTTAGGGGCCGTCCATAAATGACGTCACGCGATTTTGGACCATTCCCCCCCCCCCCTTCATCACACGGCGTCACAAAAAGTCAAACCCCCTCAAATATGACGTCACAAAGCTCTACCCCCCCCCCCAAAAAATATATATAAAACATGCTTCAAATCGCTTTAAACTATTGTCATTGTAGTGTATATTTAATGTGGCGCTGCACTCTGATGTTGGAGGAGAAAACATTTATTAAAAAGTCTTTAACTAAGTAGAACGTGTCGTCTATATTTATTTAAAGTTGCGCATTTTGATGTGACGTCACATTTCTCACCCCCCCCCCCCCCTCGTCACACATCGTTACAAATGTATGACCCCCCCCTAGGTGCGTGACGTCATTTATGGATGGCCCAATATGTGAGAATTGATAGCAGCCAAATACTCTAAAACGCACGATTATAAATGTGGAGGAGAAAAGCGGAGAGGACCCACAGAAAAATCCACGCAACCACGAGGAGAACATGCAAACTCCAAATATATGAATTTACGGGTCGACCCCACGACCTCCTGTATACTTGGCGAGGTAATTAACATCTTTCCACCGTGGCAAGATGTTTAACTACCATGGATACTGTGACACTCCAAGGGTTCAACAGAACCAATAGCCAAGCAGTCTTAGCGGGACCTGCTCACCAACATGAAGGTCCTTAACGATGATTCGTGGTTATTATTTGGCTTCGGGCACACAACGATCTGGCTCAACTTGTATCATTGAGACCCCGCACCAACTAACACAGCCAAACAGATACAATTGTCCTTGCGAGCAGGTGCATGTAACGCGCCAAATTCTTATTGCCGCTTAGATCCAGATTGCTACGCCTCTATCCAGCCGTACCGGGCAGGAAAGTTCAGTTTGATGACTGCATTAGTTGACAGTACAGAACACTCACTCGCAGATTACGCCGAGCCGCGTGTGCCGTGAGACCGACACGCTGTGCACTTCCGTTTGCCCGAGTCACCGTGCCCTGATGCAGAGCAACGTGGGAACAAACGTGATGTATTTTCAACCGCGTCCAATTGAATATGGGGCCGGCGATTATGTGCTCACTTACTTACAAGCGTGTTTCCATCACGAATTATCTGCTGTTGCTTCCAACTACAACTTTGAGTTCATCGTGGAGGCAATTAGTTGCCCGGGAGGAGTGGAGGGGGGGGGGTAAAATGTGGGTACCCCCTGCACACCTGGCGAGATGTTATCTCCCTCGCCTGGTGTGCAGGATGTCGTTGGATCAATCCCGACCCTGACGCCTGCTGCTGTAAATTTGGAGTTTGCAAGTTCTCCCTGCGGGTTGTCCCCTCCACATTTAGAAACATACCGATTTGGCTGCGATACACATTTCTACATAAACCACTTCGTTGAGCTATCATTTGTGAGAAGCCACCTTTGCGTCGCAGGGATGACCACCGGGCCGCAGTTTAAAATCCTTTCTCTATCCGCTGTTGTATTACGGTGTCCCCGTTCATGGGGTTTGTATGAGCATACTTCACCACGATGGTCAGTGTGGCTTTGTGGAACCGGGGTACCCAGGACCAGTTTAGATCGAACTGGCCACTGATGTTAGCCATGGTTAGGACGAGACCCGCAGGCCACTGCACCACGCTGCCCGGCTTACAGTAACATTGCATCGGGGTCGAAGGGTCAAAGTGTCTGTCCACTCAATAGATTGCGCAACAGCGCTCGCCATCGGCCTTACGATGGGAAATTCCACAGTCCTGTGGCAGAGGTTAGCCGTGTGGCCCACCGGTCTTCGTGGCCAGATATTTTCCACATCACATCACAGCGGCGACAATGAATGACGCAGCGGCAGCCGTTGTGTGTTGAATGCGATTGGAATAGATTGATAGGCGGACCAATCACCAGCGCCTGGGTTTAGATCTTCTCTTGCGGTGGCCAACATCCGGGTGCCACGCCGATTAATGTAATCGGTGACCTTGCCCCTCCACCCTGCACACGTGTCCCACCAAATATGTATGTATGTTGAACTTCTTTCGTACCGTACATATCCGACCGTGCTGATCGGAAGTGCGGGAGGGAAGGACAAGAAGCTAAACACAAAATGCATGGAGGCTGTGCTGCCACGTGCGGCATCACGAGAGAGACGCCTCATTGGTGACGAATACACGTCTCTCCATCCCCTCGGCAACAGGAGAGACAAGGCAAATATCCCCACCTTCATCATTATTAATATTCGCACAATAAACCTGCGATGTTTAACTTATGTATAAATTAGAAAGGGGCTATGGCAGGAGGGGCGTTAAGGGCTGGCTTCCGTGACGTCACTCGTCAAGGGCTAACCGTCTGGTCTTCACACTGCATTGTGGTTCTTGGAATATTGAAGGGGGGTTGGAATTTTACCGAATTAAAAATTAACCCGTAAAAACAAAGTGTTTCACTATAAATCCTTTATATGCGTGGCGGCTAGAGTCTTCTCGTCCTCTGGCTTGAGATGGCTGGCACCTATGGGTCAGATGATTGTCTGCCAGTTTAAGCAATTGGTAATTAAATATATAATTTGTTTTCCCTAAACAGTGTAGAATTTTGGAAAAAAAAATTCACGAACATTAATTGTCTCGCACAACGAGTCTGTGTGCAAAATGTCAGCTCGATTGGATCACGGGAAGTGGGTTAAAAAACGACCGAAAAATTTGCACGGTCGTAAGCAAGCAAGCAAGCACGCAAGCACGCAAGCAAGCAAGCAAGCGAACTTAATATAAAGGATTTTTAAAAAAACTTCACTCTTCTTGTTATTTTGGTTGCCGAGAGACCCCTGGGGGTCGATGCAGGGAGGAAGAAGCAGAGGAGACAGCGGGGGAGGAGGTGGAATGAGACGCGAGGGGCCATGTGGCAGAGGTCGAAACCGGGTACCCAATACCCGTACCCTACCCGATACCCGGCTACCCCTACCCGGCCGGGTACGGGTAGCCGTTTGCGACCCTAGTGCGGCCGGGTACGGTTACGGGTA